ACTATTGTCCATGCCAGTGCTCGATAGCAACTGCTTAAATGATGCTATAGAGTAGTGTCAACAGTACATTAGTTTGAGAATCCAGAGCTTCTCCGTGCAAACACGGCATTAGTCATAGTACACAGAACAGTAAATATGATCCTGGAGACGTGGGGGGATTCCATAGACAAAGCTATGTTTGCAAGCTATATATACATATATACATCTTGAGTAGTTCTAGTAGAGACTTCTGGCGATTTTGATCTTGCGGTCAGCTTATAAAAACGCATATGTTCTCTCTAAAACTAAACTAAGCGGTTCGCCTCCATTTTGTCACTAGCAAGCTTTCACTCAAGCAAAACCTTTCGCTTTGGTCGTACCGGAGTCTGTTTTGATATACCGGTAAGCACCACATTGAAGCGCATTACCGAGCTGGTATTCGAATTGATGTACCGGTAAGGACTATCCCACCCAATTTGCCTTTATTGAGCTGTCCCTAACAGAACTACTGTGCTTCCGATCCCAGAAAATTATTCACATTTTTATTAGTCAATAATATTCTTAGCGTTTTTCTCACCTTATGTAATGTGGTGTTAGAAATGAAAGTATTTGACCCCCCCCCCCCCGAATTTTAGCACAGCTGTAGGACCCGAAAAAAACTATTGTATCGTACTTACTAAACCATTAATTCCATTACCCTTTTGGACCAATCGCATAGTTATCATTTTCGGCAGGCTCGAGCCCGATGGGTTCTATTGAGGTGTATTCCTTGTTCTGGTTCCATTCAGACTTTCGTATTGGCTATATTAAAAAAATTACAACTTTGTCTTTGTCCGAGCTTTCGTTGGCCCAGCGAACGTTCCAAAAATGCAAGACCTTCATCTCTTTGATCTCGATTGTGGAGTGGACAAGTATCTGCCAGAAAACACTTCTCTAGATGACGCTCGACGATTCCAATCGTCAATTATATCCATCGCGGCGAACACTGTCTCGTTGTCGATTAATTAGAAGATATGGAGCTGCTTCAGTTTTCTACTAAACGCAGTTGAATTTTCTGAGCTGGAAGAGAGACTATAGACTGACGCCGAGGTTGTTGAATCTCGTGGTTTTGAATCTGCAGAAGAAAAACTAATGAAGGGGCAAACGCGATGCTTTACAAGCAGAGATGAACAGTCTGTGGCATGGCTGCTGTGTGTTTTATTTTGATAATGAAGAGGAGTACGACAATTACGTGTAGTATGTCTTCTAGAGCAATTTTGGGTAATTTCCAGCGGAGATTGTCCAGTTCTTCACAATCAATATTGTTGCAATAGTATCACGATAAATCAATAAGTCCATCCCCGTCCAACGAGTGTGAACGATTCTTCTTGTCGGCCAAGCTTATTTACTCGCAGCGAAAGCGGTGGATCCGTCAAATTGGAGATATTAATGTTCCTCATTTACATCATGACCATGCGTATGTAGAATCCGTTAGATCTTGGGCAAAAGCTTCCAGGCCTTCTTTTATTTTCCAATCTACCATGGAGCATAAAGGCTACAACTGTTACTGCAAGCGCAAGGCCACCAAGACTAATACAACCTACGCGGTCTGTGCTGGACACCGAGCTGGGTGTAAGGCTCGCCTGATTGTTCGCGACGGAAAAGTCAGAGCACTCAATTATTACCTTTGCCTAGTGGAGACGCCGCCAGAAGTCATCGATGTCCGCCGAGAAAAACAGGCCGTTCTTCAGAGAGTGTG